GAGGAGGAGGAGGAGGAGGAGGAGCAGGAGGAGGGCGAGCAGCAGGAGGAGGAGGAGGAGGAGGTGGAGGAGGGGGAGGAGGAGGACCGAAGCTTCAAGAGCGCCGCGCCGATATCTTGGATTGGCGTCAGGCGTCCTTGGCGGCGCCTCTGGCGGCGACCCTGGCGCGCTATTGTCGCCATGGGGGGGTCCCAGTTCCGACCCCCGAGGTCCGCGCGGATCTTCTAGAGCTTGTGTGTATGCGGCGTGTTGCCTCTCTGGAGGACGGGGAGGCGTTCGGGTTCGGCGAGATGCAGGTGCTGGCCATGGGCGGGACGGAGCTGGGCAGCCTCTACGCTTTCCACGTGGTGTTGCAGCGCCAGTGGTACCCGCGCTACGTCGCCGACTTCGTCATTCAGAACCTACAGGTCATCCTTCCCTGCCTCCTCCCCCTCCTTTCCTTCTCCTCCCCTTCTTCTTTAGAATCTGTTCATACACAGAGGGCTTCCTGTGCACCGTTGCCGCTGTGTTCAGGTTGATTCTGACAAAGCGAGCGAACTTGCAGGCGAATTCGTTGGACATGCTCATGTGTTGGAGCACCTGTTTATGTTAGCCAGCGTGGACCCTGAACATGGGGCGCAAACAATGGGATGATGTATGTGGTGTTAGTTGATGGGGTGCAACATATGCGGTGCAGGCTATGTGGTCCGCGCTATGTCGTGTAAGCTAGGTGGTGGGAACTGGAGGTGGGAGGCATGGGGCGTAAGGTATATGGTGCACGCTTCGCTGTGCAATATATGCGGTGTAAGTTATGTGGTGTAAGCCATGTCGTGTAAGCTCAGAGCGCGGGCACCTTCGCTCTTCGAGATGGCACGGGCGGCCACGTGGCGCAGCCTCGGCATACCCCTCAGAGAAGTGGGCGTCCACGAGGCCGCACGGGCGGCAACGTGGCGCAGCCTCGGCATACCCCCGCAAGGTCCCGCGCCCACGAGGCGCCCTCGAGGCGGCACCGGCGGCAACGTGCCGCGACCTCGGCATACCCCTCCAATCGCGGGGCGCCGACGAGGCGGCACGCGGGGCAACATGGCGAGAGCCCCGCATACCAGCCAATTGCTGCAACGAAGCAGAGCAGGAGCGCCTAAGCGCAAGCTATGTTTTTGGGGGGAATTTGCAGGTCCTTCTGGCCAGCACCTCGCTGTGGATACCCTTTAATGTCGACACGCTGGCGAACCGCATGGGCATCGCCCTGATGGTGCTGCTCACGCTGGTCGCCTCTACGAACACGAGGCCGGCCATGATCGACACGGTGCCGTATTCGACGCTCCACGACAGTTACGGGCAGTTCATGGTGTTGCTAATCTTGCTCATCTCCGTGGCGAACTGGTACGTGTTCGTGAACTGCTGGGGCTTCTATCGCACGCCTGGGGAGGACGACTACTGGGACGCCGACCTCCACATGGTGGTCAACACAATCCGGGACGGCATGATGCCGGACGCCGGCCTGTGCCAGGAGGGCTTCCTTGGGGCATCGCGTTTGGATACGTACATCTTCATGATCCAGCTGATCGCTCAGTTCCTCCTGATCTGGGGGATTCTCATCCAGGCGCAGATGGCCAGGATCACGACCTTGCTGTACATCAAGTGCCAGCTGGACGAGCCCGCCCAGAACCCTGGCGAGAACTCACAACTGGTTCTCTGCGACAATGGCTTCGAGTTCATGCGCCGCGAGGACATCTCTGATTGTTCGCGCCGCGCGGGGCTGCTACCCTTCACCGGGTGCTTCATCTGGTTATGGGGGCACGCGCGGCACTTGCGGCGGAAGTTGGAACCTTTCTGGCCGATGGAGGACGGCACCTTCCACGCAATGGACTTCCTGCGGAGGATCAAGCGGGCGGACGAGCTGAGGGCCCTCGCCAAGACTGACTTCGCCCCGGGCATATCGAATTTTCGCGGCTACATGCCGCGGACCGAGACCTCGCGATTCTTGGACGTTGGTTCGGGGGAGATGGGCTTCTACTCCTACTGGGTCGACCAGGACACTGGCCTGCTCGGCATCGACGGGGGGCAGGACAAGCTCAAGTACAAGAAGGGCTGCACCTTCGTGGACCACTTCGTGGACGCCCCGGACGGCCCACAGGACCTCGCGAGGGAGATCGCCGAGCGGTTCAAGCTGGCGGCCCTGAGCTCGGAGCGGCCCAGCGGCGGCCGCCCAACCAGCACGTGGACGTCGGCCGACAGCGGAAGAGCCAGGAAGGCCCAGCAGAGCATCGTCGTCGGGCGCGCCACCGAGGGGCCCCTGTCGCCCATTGCCGACAGCCCCAGCGAGGCGCTGGACTGCGTGGTGCCGGTGCTACCGAGTGTGCCGAGCGCCGTGGAGACCCCGGAGCTGGAGGAGCGCGACGGCAGCCTGGCGAGCTGCACGTCTCCCAGGAGGACAACGGCGGCGAAGGGCGACAGCTTTGTGGAGAGGTGCACCTCCTCCAAGCTGCCCGGCGCGAAGAAGAAGAAAATGAAGCTGTTCATGTGTCTCACGGGCGCGAACCGGCAAATGCTCAGCGAGGACTCGTCTGGGCGCCAGAAGCTCCGCGCCTTCGTGAAGGCCCTGAACAAGCACCTCGAGGCACTCGGCGTGGAGTGCGTAGAGTTCTCACCGCAGGACAAGGACGAGGCTATGTACGAGCTGCGGGCGTGCGAGTGGGTGGTGCAGCACGGGGACCTGGACGTGAAATACATGCGGCTAGGCGTCGAAGGATAAACATCGCCATGAACCTAAAGTTTCGGAGGTCCCCGCGGACGGGCGGCGCTGGAGGCGTCGCCAGGGGGGCCCAGCGCCGATCCAAGGAATCCGCGGGGCACTCCAACAGTTTTCGTTCATGGCGCTGCTGTTTTTTCCAAGGCGGGAACTACCGCAACCTGCAGCACGGCTGGGAGGACGGGCTCACCACCCTGGAAGAGGTCCTGAGGGAGTTTCGGTGGCTCAACGTGGAGAAGGAGCTCACCGCGGCGTACGATGCCGCGGCGGAGGCGCCTGGCGCGGGCCTCCCATGCGTAGAGGACCCGCGGCGCACACCAAAGGCGAAGGCGCAGGGAAGGGGGCACCCTATCCAAGGAGGCGCGCGGCGGCGGGGGCGGGGGTCCCAGAAGGCCTCCTCGGGCGGGGGCCGGGGCGAGGGCGGATCCGTTTCGGAGCCCTCCGCATCGCTGTGACTTCCGGGGGCGCGCCGAGAAGGCCGCGGCGCCCGAGGCGTGCGCCAGAGCCGCTGCCCCCCCCGCCCCACCTCCCTTGCGCGGGAGAGAAGAAGAGATCACAGGCACAAGCAATCGTCGATTAGCCAGGAGAGCATGGGAGCATGTGGGAAGGGGGGGAGGAGGACGAGCCTCCGGAACCCATTGAAAGGTAGGGCCATCCTGGGGCCTGCTTCCACTCATTTTTTGTGCCCCTGGGCCCCTCTGCTTGCGCGCGCCGCCAGTGAGGAGGAGATGGAGGAGGAAGAGGAGGAGGAGGAGCTGGGCCTCCACGTCGACGAGGTCGCGAAGGCCGAGGCTCGCCATGGGGGAAACGCGTCTCGAGCAAACGGGTCCTGGGGTTCTTCGCCGTTCGCGGGCCCTCGGGGCCCTCCACCGGCCCCAGACTGTCCAGAAAAGGATTCCGGCGACGCCATCTACACATTGTCCACTGCTCCCTGGCCGTGCCCTCCCTGAGCCCAGGAGTTGTGCATGCGCCTCCTTGCGGAGCCAGGGCGGCGTTGCTTAGCACACCGCTGCTGGGCTCAGGATGGGCACGGCCATCAGCATCGTTTATCCTCACCCCCATCCTCATCCCCATCCCCTTCGAGACCCCCGCCAAATTACCCCCCAGTTGGGGATACACCCCTCGAAACCCGAAGGGAACGGCCTGTATCCCCATCTAGGGGGGGTAAATCGGCCAGTGGGTCCTAGGCCGCGCCGCTGGGGATGGGGATCGGAGAAACGATGCTCAGGCCAGGGCGCAGTGGACGTGCGTAGATTTCGTCGCCCTGCGAGGCGGAGGTCAACCGGTCGACCGGTTCGAGCCTGCAGGTCCTGCCGCCGCCCGAGCCGCGCAGCAACCAGCGCACGACCTCGGACCCCACGGGGCGGCGTGCTTCGCGGGCCGACCCCGCGGAGGCCGCGCGCGACCTGAGGAAGGCGCGGTCGTCGGTGGGAGACCTGCGCGCGGGGACGCCCGCCGGGGTGCGGCCGGAGAGGGCAGTGGTGCTCGCAGGACGAACGTCTGCACTGGCATGCGGCAGGTTCTCGTTGTGTCGGCGCGCCGCGACCGCAGCGCGGCCGTTCAGGGCTGAGCGCCGCCCTCGGCCCGGGATCGGCCGACGTCGAATGATAAGACTGGGCGGAAAGCCGCGAGCCTTCGTGCTGGCGCGAGCCACGCTGTGACATAAGCCAACGCCCGGGTCGTCACGACACGAACCTGCCGTCGATTCAGGAGCACCACGCGGACTTCTCGGATCGGCGCCGGCGCCACCCCCAGCGCGCCCCGCGCGCTGGGGAGACAGGCCAGCGCCGATCCGAGAGAACCGCACGGGGCTCCGAAAGTTCGTGCTCATGCTCGCTTTCTGCTCCTCCGTAGGTGCGCTGCAGGGACTTCTACAGCCAGTTCGAGAGCAGCATGCCCCTGATGCGCGCCCTGGTCCGCTCCAAGGAGTTTGTCGGCACGATGTCCGCTGGTTCTGGCTCTTGCCAGGTCATTTTTCATTGATTACCCGCAGAGTGCCCTGTGGCAGAGGAGGAGGAGGAGGAGGAGGAGGAGGAGGAGGAGGAGGAGGAGGAGGAGGAGGAGGAGGACGAGGGGACGAAGGGAGGAGGAGAGGAGGAGGAGGATGGAGGGGAGGAGGATGGAGGTGAGAGGAGGAGGTATGTTGAGATGAGGAAGAGGCGAAGCAGGAGAGGAGGAGGAGGAAGGAGGAGGAGGAGGAAGAGGAGGAGGGAGAGGGAGGCGTGAGAGGAAGGGAGGAGGAGAAGAGGAGGAGGAGGAGAAGGAGGAGGAGGAGGAGGAGGAGGAGGAGGAGGAGTGGTTGGCGGAGGTGGTTGCGGAAGAACAGGAGGAGGCGGAGGAGGAGAAGGAGGAGGAGGAGGAGGAGGAGAAGGAGGGAATAGGAAATTGGTGGGAGGGAGGGAGGGAGAGAGGGAGGAGGGAGCGAGGGAGGGCAGGAGGGAGGGAGGGAGGGAGGGGGAGGAGGAGGAGAAGGAGGAGGAGGAGGAGGAGGAGGACAAGCTAGGTGCGCTCGCGTCATATCTGACATCCTACCCCTCCCTCCCCTCCCTTACCATGGCGTAGATCACCTCTCTACTCGCACAGTCGGATGTCGAGCAGGGCAATGATCCCGAAAGGGTACGCGATGCTTTGTAGAGCACGGTATGGCATGGCGTAGAAGAGCACCGCAAAGCGTAGTATGTCACAGCATGGCGTGGCGTGGCGTAGTGAAGAATTGCATCACAAAGCTTTGCAACGCAAAGCATGGCATCGCACAGCGGCCCCGAACATACCATTGCATAGCATGGCGTTGAAGATCAAAGTGTAGCATGGCATAACACGACGAGGCACTTAAGCACTGCATATCACAGCTCCAGCTGAAGGCATGGCATCGCGCAGCGGAACGCAACCTAGCATTGCATTGCATGCCGTGGCATGGCACGGGAAATGACGCCAGCGCTGCAGCGGGAGCACGATTCGGGACGAGCGGAAGCGCGGAAATGAGGCCCTAGCGTTTGCAGCGGCGAGCACGATTTCGACACGAGCGGAAGCACGGAAAAAAGGTTTTGGCCCGGGGATGCAAGCGCTGCCAGCGGGAGCACGATCGGAACGAGCGAGGGCCCGAAATGAGGCCGGCCCCAAACTCTGGGGAATCCTGTGGTAAAATCAGTACGCGGGGGGGGGGGGGGGGGCCTGGGTCGTGCTCCCGTCTCAGGGGAAGGAGGAAGGAGGAGAGTAGTATTCATATTGAGTAATTGTGGAGGAGGAGGTAGGAGGAGGAGGGGACGAGGAGGAGGAGGATGGAGGAAGGAGGAGGAGGAGGAGGAGGAGGGAGGAGGGAGGAGGGGATCTGGAGGAGGAGGAGAAGGAGGAGGAGGAGGAGGAGGAGGTGGAGGAGAGGAGGAGGAGGAGGAGGAGGGGGGGGAAGGAGGAGGAGGAGGAGGAGGAGGAGGAGGTGGAGGAGAAGGAAGGAGGAGGAGGAGGAGGAGGAGGAGGAGGAGGAGGAGGAGCAGGAGGAGGAGCGGAGCGGACAGCCTGAGCGGGAACGAGTCGAAACTCCAAGGCTTCAAGAGGGCGTGCAGAAGGGCACGCGAGGGCGCCTGGCATAAAGCTACGAGTTCCATAAGACAGGGCGGGGGCCATCCTTTTTTCCGCGGCCCGCACCGCTTTGCATAGGCCGCGCGCGGACAGACACGACAGGGCCCCCCCCAAAAGAAAACTATGAGAAAATGGGATCGAGGGCCTTGCCAGTACACGGTTTACGACCGTGGCTGGCATGTTTGATCTTAGAGGCTTGGGAACTTCGGGCCGAGGGGTTTTCCGGCCGTCCTCTACACTTGGCCGCAAGCCCACGGAGGTGTTGCCCCCAGGTAGGCTGGTGCGGGCAGCACAGAGAGCACAGAACAGGATTCGGCCAGACTGCTGCACCTCGTGCCCAAGGGAACTAAACCGTGCAGTGAGGACAGCGGAGGGGGAGGCCTCCAGCCCTGGCCTGGGACCCAGGACCGCATCAGCAGCAGCAAGGGCCACGGGCACCGCCCGACAGGACACGGGAGTGCCAATCTCTTCACGGTCCGCAGAGATGGCATTGGCCTGCCACCTCTGGAAAGCCGTCGGCCCGCACATTCTCCTACTCCCAGTACGCAACTGTGCGAGGGAGGCGGGCGTGTCGGCATACAAGTTTCACACATTGCAGCGCCAATCACCGATGCCAGGGAAGTGGAACAGCTTGTGTTCCGACAGAGCCACGGAGTCCTTACATTCCTTCTTAGGGGCCGCGCGCGCAGGGACCGAGCCAGTTGAGGCCGAGAGCTCCTGGCGAAGCGCGGCGATGGGTTGGGCAAATCGGGCCAAAAAGTCAAGCGTGAGTCTGGTGAGCTTCATTTCGGCAGCTTGGCACTCGACGAGCGTCTTAGCAACGGCATGAGACTCCGAGCCCGACCTAGCAAAGGAATCAGCCCACTGCTCTCAAGGAGTAAGATGATCTCCGACGGACCGCACGTGCATGACGCATCCTCCCATTCGCCATGAGAGGGGGTCCAAGAACAGGTCGGAGTGGGATCACCGTCTTTGTGAAGGGCAGCTGTCTTATTCCAGATGCACACGTGCTTAAAGCCACTGCAAGACTGGAGGGGGTCCCTGAGACGGTCTAAAAGTGAGAGACAACCTGGGCGTCCAGAGGGCCGCCGCGAAGTACCAGGAGAACCGCCACCCGCTCGGCCCGAGGAACAGACTGGAAGCCGCCTAGGGAGAGCACCGTACACGGCACGAGTCGGGAGCCCGCTAGGGGCCACCTCCACCGCGGACCACCCAGACCGTCTAAGTTCAGGACTGGCACAGGCCAGTCCTGAGCCGCCGGTGGTAGATGGAGGAAGAGGAGGGAGGAAGAGGAGGGAGGTCCGGCTCCTGCCAGGTCACGCTGCGGGAGACTTTCGTCCCGCGGCTCACCCGCGGCGCCACCCTCGCTCGCGGCGCGTCGCTAGCGCCCGCTGGGGCCAGGAAGTGCCTTGCCAGCATCCCCCTCGGCAACCGCTCCCCGATGACCGCGATGAGGCTCAAGCTGGACGGCGGGGAGGATCAGGGGCGAGGTGAGGTTCGAGGTTCGAGGTTTTTGTGTGCTCTCGTCGGTTCTCGGCGGCTTTCCCTCCTCGGGAAGCCTGCGGTGATTTTTCGCCTCGTCGAGGGCGTCCTGGGGGTGCCCAGATCGCCCCGAGCGGCCGCTGGAGGCCCGACTTCTGACAGGAGCGCCAGACGATGAGGACCATCGGGGGGGGATGGGCTCCGGGGGCGATGCACCGACACCCCCCTATCGCCCATCGATGGCCGACAGGGGCCCTGTTGCCCGCCCCTCCCATGGACCGAGTGAGCTCGCCATCGAGAGCCCACCGCCCAGCTGTCGGTGGCGTACCGCCCCGAGCTGCCCCCCCCCCCCCCCCGAGCGTGGCCCCATCAGACCATCAGAGGAGGACGACGACGCGTCGCCCCTGTCCAAGAACCTGCCCATGACGCGCCAGCGCACCCTGGCCCTGCTCGGCCCGAAGGCGGTGCCGGAGGCGGCGGGCAGGGGCCTGCTGAGGCAGAGGCCGGCGAGGCAGCGGCGCTCGACCGCCTTGCCGACGGGGTTCAAGGAGTCGCGGAAGTCGCGGGGCGGGCGGGGAGGGTGGAAGTGAGAGGGAGGAGGCCTTCTCAGAAGGTCATTTTTTTATCCGCTGCTTTGCCGATCGGCGCGGGCCCTCTCACCCCCCCCCCTCCCTCCCCTCCCCCCCTGGAGTAGATCTTGGCTGTTTTTGGGCGCCTGTTTCGAGCGGGTGGAGTCTCTCTCCCAGAGGCAGCACTGTTGCACACAACCGCACTCAGCAGAGGTCTGGAGCCAGACCCTCCCCCTCCCCCCCCCCTTTCCGCCCCATGTCGAAGCGCCGAAGGAAAAAACGCTCACAAGGCCGAGGGATTTCTCAGAAGCCCTACGGCCTTCGGGGCCATTTTCGGGGGGGGAGGAGAAGGAGGACGAGGAGGAATGTGGGGACGAGAGGAGGAGGAGGAGGAGGAGGAGGAGGAGGAGGAGGAGGAGGAGGAGGAGGAGGAGGACGACGAGGAGCAGGAGGAGGGGTCCGCGGGACTTCCGGGCCTCGAGGAGGCCAGGGCCGCTCCCTCTCGCTTTCCCCCCGGGCTGGTCGCAGGAGGAGGGAACCTTGCACAAGCATGCACATTGTTCATTTCTAATGTTTCGTCTGATTTTTTGGGGGCCAAGATCCTTTCATTTCTAATTGTTCTATCCTGGGCCTCTTCCTGGCCACTTGGGGGCCAGGAACAATTAGAAACGAGCACAATTAGAAATGAGCACGATTAGAAATGAACGACGTGTAATGAATGGTTCGGCGTTCCGCGTGGATTCCTTGAATCGGCCCTGGGCCCCCTCCCTGGCGCGCGGAGCGCGCCTGGGGGCTTCTGCGCGGACCTCCGAAAGTTGATGTTTTATGCTGTTTCATGATTTCTTTAAAGGATGCGGCGTACGGCAACCCCGGGGTGTACATCACCACCCAGCCCGCGTGGCCCGAGGATGGCCCCGTCAGCAGGGAGTTGCTGGAGGAGTGCAGGGGGAGAGAGTAATGAAATATGAATTGGCAACGGCACACTGCCGCTGGTAGCCCGTCAGCATGCTATTCATTTGTATTTGCCCGAAGGCGTGGTATTTGATCACCAGTAGCACGCCAATGGGTTCCCATGGCGTGTAATGGATGTGTCGCCGCGCCGTTTGTTCAGACGCGCGGCCCTCTGCCTTGGGGCGGGCGCCTCGGCCACCAGGGCAAACGGCGCCCCGAGCGCGGTGGGTTTGCCATAGGTTTTCCGCGGCGCCGGCGTCGTCTACTCGAGCGCGGATCGCATCGTCCACTTGGGCGCGTCGAGAACAAACGGCGCGGCGACATTTGGCTTCTGCTGCCCCGAGGAATGGCGCGACCTCGTCGTGTGTTGCGCCGAGGAAGTGGACGTGCCTCGGGGCCAGCGCGGCCTCTTCGTGGGCATCACGGCCTTCTTCTACGCCGCGAAGCTCGCGGGGTGCGAGGACCGGATCCTCGAGAAGTCGGAGTTCTTGGACGCGCTCGAGGCCAAGAAAGAGGAGTTGCCTCCTCGGCCTCGTCCTCCCGCTCCTCCCCCCCTTCCGCAGCTTTCGGAGCCGCGGGGTCCAAGGAGAGCATTGCCCGACCCTGCCCTGAGAGCAAAACAGAAAGTTGCCTGGGGGTGTAAAGTCTGGCGCAGCCGTCAATCCTCCGTGACAGCCTGAAGGGGGCTGTTCATCCTCCTCTTCCTCCTTCTCCTCCTCGTAGTGTCCCCTCCTCATTCTTCTCCTTCTTTTCGAGGAGCTGCTGGAGAGCGGCGGGACTGGGCGGGACCTCGCCAACTTGACGCTCGTCGCCGCGCTGGGGGATCACGTTATGCACAACAAAGCCAAGATCGTCTGCAAACGCACTTGGTTGTGCTCCGAGCCGGAGCGCTCCGAACCCATGAAGGTCGTCGCCACATGGACCCTCGGGTTTTTCCTAAGACATCTGGCTGCCTCGTGACCTTCGCTGGAGGCTGGGCGAGCGAAACGGCGGGCCAGAGCGGCGCGCTGATTTTTTGATCAGATGGGCGCACCCACTATGAGTCGTGCCCTTTTTGTTTCCTTCAAGATGGAGGCGTACGAGCGCGAACGTGGCCGAAATCGTGGCCACCTATTTGTGCCGCGATCGTGTCCCCTAGTGCTGCATGAGACTTGTTCGATGATTGTGTTCTCACCCTGGTGTAGATTTCATAGACCACCGCGCGTAGGTGTGGTGTTGACTCGGAGACATGCTGCATCCTTGTAGATAACTTCTCTGGCTCCTCGCTCTCCCCTCTCCCTCCCCGTCATCGGCATCGTCGTCCTCGTCATGAGGCTCTGGCATGGCTATTGCTCGCGTGATCCGTTCGCGTTCGACTGTCATGTGTGCTGTCGCCTCCACTGAGGCGCGGAGAGGACGCCCTGGCCGCGATGCTCGTCTGGGTCGTTGGGCCGCCTCTTCGCTCGTTCTGCTCATTCGACGCGCGCGGCGCTCGATCCGAGCTCGGTCCCGATCATCATCATCAGCATCATCATCATCATCATCATCATCATCATCATCATCATCATCATCATCATCATCATCATCATCATCATCATCATCATCATCGTCATCGTCATCGTCATCATCATCATCATCACCATCATCGTCATCATCATCACTATCAGCATCAGCAGCATTATCAGCATCATCATCATCAGCAGCATCATCAGCATCGCCATCATCATCATCATCCTCACCATCAGCATTACCATCACCTTCAACCATCATCATCCTTCACATCAAATTATCACGTTCGTTATCATCAGCACCGTCATCAGCACCGTCATCAGCATCATCATTATCATCATCATCAGCCTCGGCATCATTAGCATCATCGTCGTCAGCATCATCATCACCATCATCGTCATCGTCGTCATCATCATCCTCATCACCGTGAGCATCATCAGCACCAGCACCACCATCATCATCATCATCACCACCACCACCATCATCATCATCATCATCATCATCATCAGCATCAGCATCAGCATCGTCGTCATCATCATAGTCATAATCATCATGGAGGTCGGCGCGCTGGATGCGGGAAGCCGGCAGACGGCCGCGTGCGCTCAAGAAATAGTGGTGGTATATAGATTGGAAAGAGCGTGTTCTACCGCTGCTGGCGGAAAACCGGGGGGGGTCACTACCGGTTCGAACCCCTCCCCCCCCCCCCCCCCCTCCGGAAAACCTGGGGGGGTCACTACCGGTTCGAACCCCTCCCCCCTCCCCCCAGTTCATCATGAAAAGGGGGGGGGTCACTACCGGTTCGAACCCCCCCCCCCCCTCGAAAACCGAGTGGGGGTGCGGACAGTGGTGGGGACGGTGTTGGTGGGGACAGTGGTGAGGGGACAGCGGGACAGTGGTGGGGACAGTGGGGGGACAGTGGGACAGTGGTGGGGACGGTAGTGGTGGGGACAGTGGTGGGGACAATGGTGGGAACAGGGGGGACAGTGGACAGTGGTGGGAACGGTGGTGGTGGGGACAGTGGTGTGGGGACAGTGGGAATGAGGTGGAAACACTGGGACAGTGGAGGGTACAATGGTGGTGGGGACACTGGTAAAGGCGGTGGCGAGGACGGCGGTGGGACAATGGGACAGAGGTACAGTGGGGACAGTGGTGGGGACAGTGGGGACAGTGGTGGGAACGGTGGGACAGCTCAGTGGGACAGCGGAGGAGTCAGCGGGACAACGGGGACAGTGGGGATAGTCGGGCAGTGGTTGGGTCCGTAGAGACAGTGGGGAGAGTGGAACCGTGGTGGGAACAGCGGTGGGAACAGTGGGGACAGTGCGACAGTGGTGGGGGCACTGGTGGGGACACTAGGGACGGTGGTGGAACCAGTGGGGACAGTGGTGGTGAGGACAGTGGTGCTGGGAACAACAGTGGGGGATGTGATGCGAGCGGTGGTAGGGACCGGGAATCGTTTGCTGGCGGTGCGTGGAAGGGGGGGTCGAACCGGTAGTGACCCCCCTCCGTTTTCGGGGGGTTGGGGGGGGGGGGGGGCGGTTCCAACCGGTAAGTGACCCCCCCCGTTTTTCCGGATTCCGGATTGAGGGGGGGGGGGGTGGGTGAGGGGGTTCGAAACCGGTAGTGACCCACCTTTGTTTTTGTTTTCGAGGGGGAGGGGGGGGGGGGGAGGGGGTTTTAGGGGAGGGGGGGGCTTTTGCCGGGAG